AAGCCGCGGGCCACAGCCAAAGTTAGTACGGAATTACTAATGAAAAAATATCTGACAGCTAAAATGATTATCTGACAACTAATCACTTGTTAAATTTAAGTGGGACTGGATCGGAAAAACTGGAAGAAATAGACGTAGGCATTTGCCTCCTCTATTTCTTCCACTTCTCTATTTATATCATAGAATAAGGCCATTGAGTATTATATAAAAATTAATATTTACAAATAGTATAACATTTTATGGAAGATAAATAACAAATATTTATATAAATATACCGCTTCTTATAGAATAATATAATGACATAATAGATTTGTTAATATAACACAAGATATTACGTATATAAATAATTTAAATATTACACAAGTTAACAAAAATAAATAATGTTACATTTTTCTCTTTGCAAATAGTTAATAAATAATTATAAACGCAACCTAAATATCAATTCTATGACGATGTCTACTATTACATTTTCCCCACTTTTTGGGGAAAATGTCATTAACTTGCAAACATTACTCATTTGCTTATGTGGGTGTGGGCAAACGTAATTACAGGCCGCTTATGCACACATTCATTGTGTTGTAGCTTCAACTTTGAACGGAATTTTGAATGTCACTATCACTCTATGTGTAATTACTCTAAGCTCGTAATTATAACTTTTAACAAAAAGTAAAAACCGACTTCAAATTGCTAAAAATAAATTATTTATTTGCTATTCTTAGGGGTGGAATTTTTTCCCCAAATTTATGTGGGACTACCCTTGAAGTATAAACTATATAAATAAAAAAGAATCATTAAAATCGGTTCTCAATCTGCGAAGATATCATAAGAAATTCCTTAAACAATAGTCCAATATGAAACTTTTTCCCCTATTTTCCACCCTTGGGGGCAGAATTCTTTCTTCAAAATTTAATGGGACCAGCCTTTAGGTAAAGCCTATTTAATTAAAAAAATCATTAAAATCGGTTCACGATCTGCGAAGATGTCGCGTAAAACATACATACAAAAAAAAACTCGGTTAAAAAGTAAAGTAAAAGAACTCAACTCATACTCTATATCATCATCATCACCATTATTGCAGCCTAGTAATAGTTCTCCCCATTAGATTGCTACGTGGGGAGGATTTTGCCATAGTTGCTAATCCTAACAGTTTTTTTTAAATTATTTGGAAGTTATCAGAAAGATGCTGCTGCCCATCTCCTGTTTCAGTTTCCCTCTGTCGCCTCTTACGACACCCACGGGATGATATGAGGTAGTGGATTATCTTACGCTGCACCACTCGGCAAACGGCTGTAAACTATATACTATTATTATTGTTATTATATTTCATTAATACTAATTTCTTTTTTTTTATTTAGTTTTTTATTGAGCCGTGGTAGCTCAGACAGCGCTCGCCGTAAAATTTCACAGTACGCGGGCAACCCGTATTCGATCCCCGCCGGCACCAATGAAATTGTTAATTGCAATTTGAAGTACTGATTTACCATGTGCTCGGCGGTGAAGAAAAACATCGTGAGGAAACCTGCATGTCTGAGAAATAATAAAAAAATACTTTGTAGACGTGTGAAGTTCGTCAACACGCTTTGGGGCAGCGCGGCAGACATTTCCTTGACCTAAAACCCTTTCAGAAATGAGAGGAGGCCTGTGCATACAGTGGGACGTATATAAGCTGTAATTTTATTAATATTATTTTTAATTACCTTTTACTTCTTCTTTGTCAAATTAAAACGAAACAAACGCTTCAAAGGGATTTCTTTACTTAAGAAAATTAAATTAACGTTGTTTAAACTTTAGTTGTTTTGTACGTCGCATATTTAAAGAGAGTTTAATTATGAACGAGAACTGTTTACATAATATACATTGACTACCTCAATGGTCTAGTGATCGTAACCATGATTCATGATCAAGAAGTCCCGGGTTCAAATTCCGGGCTGGGTGTCAAGAAACAGCCCGGAGTCAGAAAATTGGTGGTGTTATAACCCCTCCGCGCCTCGAAAAGCACGTAAAGCAGTTGGCCCTGCATCTAATCTCTCTCCAGTCGAATCGGATTACTGTCCCATGAGAGTGAGGGAATAGATAGTGCACTTGTGTTCGCGCATACCCTCGGGCACTATAATCTTGTCCTGCGCAGGTGGCTAGGCTGCGTGGAGAATGTCAGTCTTGACAGAAATTCCGTCTGGAGGACATTATTTTATGATATACGAGTATTACGACATGAAGGCGGCAGCGTCATGCGCCAGCACGCTACCCGGCGCGCTACTCGATTTCAACCACCACCCCACGTCTTGTTTTGTAACGGGTATAAAACGACCACGCAATGATGGAGCGGGCAGCCTCTCCGAACTTCGAGACCTCGAAAAGAGTAGTCTCATCGACAATATCTCTCCCTCTCATACAGTGTACTAACAGATAGCGAGAACCATCCGCATAGACGCTATCACTCACACTCCCCCTATCTCCCGTCCCGACGGTACTATTGCCTTAGAGGACGAGGAAAAGGCTGAGTGCTTTGCAGACAGCATCGCCGCTCAATGCTCCCTTAGCTTACAATCCACCAAACCCTCCCACATCACAGTGGAGGATGTGGTCCGCCACCGGAACTCACCTCTTACAGCCTCTAACCCTATCACTGTGTCCAATGATGAGATCTCATCCCTCATCAAAGGACTGAAGCCCAAAAAGGCTCCGGGCGCGGATGGCATCTCCAACCAAGGCTTTAACATATTCCTGAGCAGATGTTAACCCTTTTAGCTATTATCTTCAACGCCTACTTCTACCTTAGTTACTTTCCCACTACGCGGAAAGAAGCATCTATCAATGGTATCCCCAAGCCAGGAAAGCCTCACAACCTCTCCTCCAGTCATCGTCCCATCAGCCTCCTCAAGGCCATGGGCAAACTCTTTGAAAGAGTCATCCTCACTCGCATGAGGCTCCATCTGTTTCCCACAGACGGAGATCCTCTTGTCATCGCCCACGAATTTGGTTTCCGAGCGAAAAATTCTTGTCCCCAACAAGTTCACCGTATTGTGGAATATATCCTCAGCAGTTTCTATCCTCGTCGACATAAGACCATCGTGGTCTTTTTCGACATAGCAATAGCAAAGCGTTTGATAGAGTCTGGCACGAAGGCCTTATCTACAAACTCTACAAAATAGACCTCCCTGATCGCTTTGTTCCTCTCGTGGCCTCCTACCTGAAGAATCGTACCTTTCGTTTAAAACACGAAGGCACGCTCTCCTCTCAGCGTCCCATCAAAGAAGGTGTCCCTCAGGGCTCAGTGCTTGCCCCTCTCCTATATATCTTGTTCATCAAAGACATTCCCATCCCATCGAAAGGTGTTTAGCTCTTCCTCTTCGCAAATGACACTGTCCTCTATTGTAAAGATATCTCACTACCTTTCATATGGAACAAGATCCAAAAGTCAGTTAATGACTTAGGAGCTTGGTTGAAAAAATGGCGTAACGATGTGAACCCGGAGAAGAGCTCCGCCGTTCACTTCCACCACAAACGACGCCGCCTCACTACGATTCCGCCAATCCGTATGCTAGGAACCCCTGTCTCCTGGCATACGACCGCCAAATACTTAGGTGTCACCCTTGACACAAGGCTCACCTTCGGGCCCCATGTCAAAAGAGTAACTCGCAACGCGCGCTTTTATCTGAGTAGGCTCAGCAGTAGCTGGGCTGACACAGTAAAAATGTCCCTCCGCAACAAGCGAACCCTTTATAAGGTTTGTATACGACCAGTCATGACTTACGCAGGCCCTATATTTGCTCACGCTAACCCCAAAATCATTAACGAAATCCAAATAATTCAAAACCACTTCTGTCGTCGAGCTACGAACACACTCTGGTACATCCGTAACGCCGACCTCCATCAAGAGTTAGAGCTCCCCACAATCCAACAATTTCTAATAACACTCTCTGAGAACTTTTTCAAAGCCTCAGAGTCTCACTCCAATCATTTCATTCGTGAGGCAGCTATTTATGCAGCCCCGCTGCCCTCTCGCTATCGACTCTCTCTCGGACGCGCTAAACAAGTTTTCGGCCGAACTGAACTGCCTCCTGGCGGCTCAGGCCGATTCTTCTTAATTTTCCTTAGTTAGGCTCCCCCTAGGCTACTCGTCGCCGCCTGTGCCCCCTTTTCCCTAAAGAGGGTCGCTTCCGATTCGGCAGAAAGACCTCAAAAGCCAATATCAGTTTCACTGGTGGTGTTTAGTAGGTAGGCACTTAGGTTAGGTTAGTCGCAGTGAGTCCCACATAACCACGACAGCCGGCTGTCGTGGTATGCTTAGAGCATTCACCACCTCCCTTCCTCGTTTTTCGGAGGCTAGCCGTTTTCAATTGCTTCTGGGCGCAAAAAAAATGGAGCGGGCAAACTGCGCCCTCTTTTCCCTAAAGGGGGTCGCTTCTGATTCGGCAGAAAGGCCATACAGGCAAAGCCAGTCCCACAGGTGGTGTTTAGTGGGTAGGCACTTCTTCAAGTGAGTCCCAGATAACTATATATGTATGCTATGAGCATTCACCACCTCTTTCCCCCGCTTCCGGACGGACGGACGCCTTGCATTAGGCCCAAAAAAAAACGGAGCGGGCAGTACACCCACACTGTGATAGTGGATCCACACTACGATAGTGGTTCAAGCCGAGATTCGTACCTCCTTCTGAGTGACCCTTGAATTACATCGAGACCCCTCTTCCCTCTGAAAGTTTGCTGTTGGTACACTTTCAGAAAAAAAAGAGCGGGCTGTCTTGGCTCTGGCGTGACTCTGTACACTCGTTGTACCGAGCTGGATTATCCTAGACGCTCACGGATAATTAATTTGAAATTAATTATTATCATTAATTATAAAAGTGTCCTGGTGCAATTTATAATTAATAAAACGAAATATTATCTTAATCTCTGACTTCTTATTCAGCATGGCCGACCCCTTTCTCCTACATATTACTTCTAAATTATTTGAAGACAATTATAAAAAACACAAGTTTAATATTTTAATATTTTACCTGCACTGTTTGGGATTGTGGAGGAACCTAAATATGCTGCGCGCGAGAGTTTTCCCGGATATTGGTGATGTGAGTAGGGCGCGTGGTGACCATGCGACGAGGCCGGCCGTTCTACAATGGTGTAAGACGTCCCTGGTGGTGAGTAGTACACTCCGCCACGCGCACGCGCCCTTGCATCCTCCGCCTCGTAGCTCGTGTGCCGGTTGTCCTGCAACCACTGATTATATCCAACATGTTTTAAAGTACCATCCCCATTTGGGGTTTAGAAAAAAACTATTTCTAAATTTGAAATATAAATTTTGTAATCTAAAGCTTAAACAAAGCCTAAATGAATAAAAAAGGTTGGCTTATTACTTTGGTAATAGGGGGAAGCATTACCAGTATTTTCTGTAGGCTGCGATCTCAGGTTGAAACCAAGCGTACTAAAGACTAGAAACGACAAATCTTTTTATGCCTATCGTTGAGATAAGAAGAAAAAGGTTTTAAGTACATTTTCATAAAATGTTAAAACAATAGGCCTAAGCGTTTGGTCTACATTTTTAAAGCCTAAAAAATATTTTATCAACTACCTTTTTACCCCAAAACTAATAGCTTTAGTTGAAAGTTCAAACATTTAACATTACGTCTATATTTGACTAATCGTGTTTTATAACTAGATCAAATTTCAGTCATCTAATATGAATACTTATACTTATACTTATCTTCACGCACAATCCCTGACGGGGTAGCCAGAGAGAACAGATCGCCAAGTGTCACGATCCTTACAAACCTCTTTCGCTTCTTTCAGATTCATTATCTTCTTCATGCATGCACGTCTAGGTATCCGAGTACTTTTGACCCTACCCTCTTCGAGCAATTTGCTCACATGGTCTTCGAAAGTTAGTCTCGGTCTACCTCGACACCTTTTAATATTAACTTTCGCGCTATATATTTTCTTCACCATTCGGTCTTCACTCATTCGCTCAACGTGCCCAAACCACCGAAGCACGCCCTTATCAATTTTTGTGATAAGGTCATCTTTCAAACCTGCTATATTGCGAATCTCTTCGTTTCGCTTTCAGTCGGCCATGGTAACGCCGCACATTTTACGAAGAGATCGCATCTCCACTGCATTCAACTTACTTTTATGCTTCTTCTGGCATACCTAGGTTTCGCTGCCATATAACAAAGTCGGTACCAACACTGCGTTATGTATTGCAAGGCGTGCACTCTTCGCTACGCCTTGCCTTTTGACTAACGCAGTCAGGGCACCATTGACTTTGTTCCCGGCAGCGACACGCCTGTCCACATCTAAATCACATCTTCCATCCCGGCTAAAAGCACTCCCCAAGTATACAATTTCATTTACCTGTTCTAGACATTCCTGATTTACCCATATTTCACACTTCGTTCTCTCTTCGTCACTTTCAAATACCAGAACCTTAGTTTTATTAGCATTCAAACGGAGACCTTTAATTTCACATTCCTCTTTCATACACGTGACTAATGCCTGCACTTCTGCCTCTGATGGTGCAATAAGCACTGCATCATCAGCATACAGCAGACAATTTACTTTAATGTCACCCAATTTCACACCCAAACGACTATCTTTCAGCTTCTGTAAACAGCTGTCGAGATACAGTATGAACAGCCAGGAAGACATGACACAACCCTGCTTTACGCCCGTTTGGACGTTAAACATGGGTGACAGGTCATGCCCTACCCGCACACAGGCTTTACAGTCACAGTAAAGAGACTGCACAGCCCTTAGCAATCGACCATTCACACCATACCCCGGCAACAGTTCCCACATTTTCTTCCTTACAACCTTATCAAATGCTTTCTCAAGATCCACAAAAGCACAAAAAATCTTCTGGTTAGCAGCCAGAAGCTTTTCCGTGATCATGCGGAGAGAAAACATTTGATCCGTGCATCCTCTTCCAGGTCTAAATCCGCATTGTGCCTCCCATAGAAATCTTTCCGATTTCTCTTGCATCCTACGTGTCAAAACCTTCGAGTAAACTTTACTTGCTAAACTGGTCAAGCTGATCGCCCGATAGCACCCGCAGTCAAAATGTGAACCTTTACCTTTATATAAAGGCACAATGACTGCGGATCGCCAATCATCCGGGACATCCCCCGTCCGCCAGCACAAATTGCACAACAGATGAAAGCTGTCCCAGACGCGAGGCCCACCATACTTGACCATTTCAGCAGTAACTCTGTCTAGTCCCGCAGCCTTACCACATTTCAAACTTCGAATCGCACGTTCAATCTCTTTCATACTGATGACCTCAGTGTCATCGAGGTCCGGGTCTGGCGTACCAGTCACGGCGTCATCCCCGGATCCCTCACTAAGATCATCACACGCATACATTTCTCTATAATATTCGCTCCATCGCTGCATGACGTCCGATTTTTCTGAGAGGACGTCATTAGTTCTCGAAAGCACTTTGTTCATTCTTAAGGCCGTCGCACCACTTCGGGTCCTTCCAACCTCTTTCCAGAAGAGTTTGGAGTTCTCCTTAAAGTTGTGCGACGACCTTTCGTCCGCTTCCATTCTACACCTTTCACGCACTTCCTCAATCAATGCTTTCGTGTGAACTTTCTGCAGCTTATATCTTTCTTTCATCTTCTCTCTCATATCCTTATCATTACTAGAGGCCAAGTAGTCTAACCATGCTTTCTTCTTCTTCTTTACAGCTTCTTTCACTTCATCCTTCCACCATGCATCTCTTCTTTTACTACTGCCTCTTTTTATTGTTCCACACACTTCTTCCGCTGCACTTACCATTCCATCCCTAAGGTTCTGCCATGTTATTTCTACACATTCTTTTCTGCCATCGATGGTGTCAAGCTTTTCGGCTACCCTCGCATGATATTTGTCCCTAGTATCCGCCTCCTGAAGCTTCCAGCTTCGGATGCGACAGACCGACTGTGGTTCTGTTACTGCCGTCCGGTAGCGCCAACCCGCGAACAGACCCCTAAATCTAGTGATCACTAGATAGTGATCCGTTCCCAGGTCAGCACCCCTGAACACTCGCGTATCCATCACCTGTTTTCGCAGTCGGTCATCCACCAGGAACAAATCGATCATACTTCTCTCATTCTTTCGTTCTCTAGTATACATATGGATTTTCTTGTGATTAAACGTAGTGTTTGTCACAAGAAGACCCTTTTCCTTGCACACCGCCAGTATAAGCTTGCCAGCATCATTAACCCTTTTATCGCCAAACTTTCCAAGTACCGACTCGTACCCTGGTCGAGCGGTACCAACCCATCCATTCAAATCACCACATACAATAATTCTTTCGTTTCCCCTAGCCAAATCTAGAACTTCTCTTACATTCTCCCAAAACTCCTCCAGCTCAGCCCTGGACGACGAAGCTACCGGCGCATAAACAGCCAAAAGGAATAACTTCGTCAGTCCCAATTTAAAGCGAACCCAGAGAAGTCTTGAGTTCACAACCTTATATTCAGTCATAACATGTCGATGTTATGACTGAATATAAGGCCGAGAAGACAGCAGCACCCCCACTCCCTGGCAGGCGTTCTCGCTCTCCGGGACTCCGGACCATAGAGCTAACGCCCCGCCAGGGAGCTCTTCAGTACCACTGCCCTTCCGTTTGGTCTCCGACATACACACGACATCTAATTCTCTTTCTTTCATTATTTCAATCAACTCATTCATCTTATCTCTCATGCCTCCTCTAATATTCCACGTGCCAACTCTGCACTCTGTCCTCCACCTTCCGCCGTGTCGGGCTGTGCGTGACGGGTGGCGGTCCCCATCGCCGCTTTGCACGCTGCATTCCACACCAACGGGGACGAGCTGGTGTGCGTCGCCTTGGGGGGACGCCCTAACCCTCGTTGGCATGGGTGCGCAGCTAGTAGAATTGCAGCCCTGAAAAGGGCTGGCAGGGGTCGCGACGAGCACGCTTCTACAATGACCCCCTAAGTATTTCGAAATAAGTATTTCGGTTTTCAAATTTTGGCTCGGAACACTCAAACGTCCATCTGATGGTAAATAACTATTATTACTATAATTAATAGAATCAGGCGTTACTTTGCGGAAATCCATTATATATAAGCTTTTAAAAAATTTACTTCGCAAACATCCGCGCTATAAAACAAAATGATGTGTCTTACCTAGTATGAAGAGCACCTCCCGCCCTCCCTCAATTGCGTGCACTATCCCCGTCACCACTAATCCCAGCACCGCTACTCCCAACACCACTACACTAGGCAAGACACACCACTGACGACAATAAGACACGTGTTTCGCCTCTACACGAGGCATCCTCAGGTGATGTAGACTCTACGGTGGCTGACCGTTAAGACTGACTTATAATTAGTATTAATTCATGCTCAGTATTAATTTCGAAAGAGCATACATGCATGACGCTGCGATATAATATGCCTGATGTTAGGGTTAGATAGGCTCTAACCAGTGCTGGTTCAAAGTAATACCTGCTGGGAGCGCGAGTGGCGCGCGAGGTGGTGCGCGGGCGGGTGCTGCGGGGTCGCGGAGCGCGCCCAGCCGTAGCCCTGCGAGTAGGGCGGCGGCCAGCGCGCACCGAACTCCGCCAGCTCCGAGCCCTCGCCCGCCTCCCCCGACCTCATGCCGGGGGACGCCGCTCCCTCTGCAACAAACAAACAATTTACGATCATCAATCAAGCACCTCATCACAAGTTCAATGCTGAACACAACTTGACATTGTGTATAAAGAAACTTATCGGTTCTTTGTAAGTTATTATTTTTTATAGAATAAGTGTGACAAACGAGCATACAGTCATATCTGATGGTAAGTAAATTTTGTGGCCCATATACATCATTTATACTCACTTAAGAATCAAAATGCCTATGCGTTATCACCCCTGAGGACTAAGATGAAATTCCACCTTTCCAGTAAAAAGAGTCTCCGGTTCTCTACACTCACCATACGAAACACATCAGGATTAAGCTGTTATTTATGCTGGTATTCTGTGAGAACGTGGTCCTACCCCGGTCGAGCCGACCCATTCGTGCTACAACCATAACATCGTTGCAGCGTGGCACTACCACGTAAAATTTATTAACAAACAACGCTCCGGCTTCGCCTGAAAGAATCTGTTGATGTAGCGTTATTTAGATAACTTAACTTTTAATAATATTAAGATAATAAAAAAACATTTCTTTATCAATTTTTCGGTCTTTAAAAAATCTATTTTACTACTTTTCGGATAAAATATAGTCTAGATCCCTCTTAGAACTGCTCTGTTCGTTCGTAAAGATTCATCCCAATCCGTTCTGCCGTTCCGATGATTAGCGCCAACAAACAGCTAGCCAGACAGACAGACAAACAAACATTTAAAAAATGGTTACTTATGACTTAATAACATGCAAATAACTTCCTGGGCTAAATAGAACCCAGTTATTTCAATATTACAGACATACCCTTCAATTTTATTTATATGTACATAGATATAGATTGTAAGTGTACAATCAGTAAAATCTAAATACAACAACAAACGTCGGATATTATAAGAATTGTTAAAATAATATCTTTAATTTTAAATTTTAAATTTTGTACAACCGACTTCAATGTAAATTATTAAGAATAACTCAAAAACTATTGGTCAGACCTTGGTCAAATTTATATGGGACGACATGTGAAGTACCAGCTTTTAAATAAAGAAAGAATCATCGAAATCAGTTCACCCAGAAAAAAGTTATTAGGTAACACCATTGAGTTATATGTACTACGTACTAGAGAAGCCATTCCGAGCATTGACTATGTTCAACTGAACTGTAGTGCAATCCATACAAACTAAATATTGCGTAAATTGAAGATTTGTGAATTCCATAAAATAATTATTATAACATTTTATTTAGAAATATGTTTGTTTAGATTAAATTAAGATATTTTATATTAAATTCTTCTATTTATTTTATATTAATATCTTATTTTATATCAAATTAAAGTCTTCGCACATGCGCGACTACTACTCCCGCGCATGCGCGAAGACATAGAATAGGACATAATTTTTGTTTGGAATGGAAAAAACATAAATTCCCATTGGGTACCATCTCCTTTTTGAAGTATTTTAGTATTTTTCTAGTTCAATTTTAGTACAAATGACAATTCGATTAATTCTACATTAAAATACACAAATCAAATTAATAACTATATACAATATGACATCATCTGACATAAACCGATGTAAACTTAAAAGTAAATCAATCATAAAAACTGCACCAGTAAAACGGGGCTATAGAGATGCCCAATAAGACTTGAAGTAGAACATAATATATTATTTCATGTCTTATGTAACTAAAACCCGTCTGCACGGCTCTACAGCGACACAACTAAGTCCTGTTTATGTGCGAATAGATCCAGCGCAACAGTAAACATTGTACTCGTAGTACACCCACCGGCTGCTACCGCCTACGTGTTATCTATAATTACAATTCCGGCTTATCTTTTACGGTAATGATAAAGCTCTTGGAGCACATCTAAACAGTCTAGGAGTAAATTATTTTATGAAACGGTAAATTAGTTTCAGGACACTACTGATTGGAGTGTAAGTCATTAGGAATATTTTCTCTAAGTGCCGACCTCAGCTGCAAGCAGTGCAACTATTTTTAGTATAGAGGTGACGAATGAGCACACAATCCACCTGATGATTATTGGATGCTGTGGCCCATTTTTTTTGTTTATAGGATAAGGGTGACAAACGAGCACACAGTCCACCCGATGGTAAGTGGCTGCTGCGGCCCATAAACATCTACATCTATCCTCGTTTGCGAATCAAAATGCAGATGCGTTGTCACCCGTGAGGACTAAGATGGAATGCCTCATTTCCAGTACAAAGGGCCTCCGGCCACCTGCACTCACCAAGCGAAACGCAGAGGTTAAACTCTACTTCACGCTGGTATTCTGTGAGGTCGTGGTACCACCCCGGTTCGAGCCGGCCCATCCGTGCGACAGCAATTCCGCCGCGTGGCTCTACCACTGTTACTCTACCGCTGTGGCTCTACCATATACATCTACATCTATCCCCGATAAAGAATCAAAATGCAGATGCGTTGTCACCCCTGGGGACTAACATGGAATGCCTCCAGTAAAAAGGGTCTTCGGTTCTCTACCATACAAAACACAGCAGCATTAAGAAATCATCAAAATGTGCAATATCAAAATCGCAAGACTTGTTATAAAAATCTAGTGCACAGGCATAAGCTTTGTCTTCACCAACCCACTCTCCAGCATGATGCCTATATGCAAATTTCTTTTTCTGGTATGAGTTACACAAAGTCTTGAATAAACTAGATTTGTATATCTTACTGCTGTATTTTGATTGCAGCACGAATGGCTTGACCAGGGACAACGCTTTCAGAGAATACTAGCGTGAAATAGCAGGTTAATGCTGCTATGTTTCGCACGAAGTGTGTAGGGGACCGGAGAGCCTTTTTACTAGAAACGAGGCATTCCATCTTAGTTCTAAGAGGCGGCAACGCATCAGCATTTTGATTCTTAATCGAGGATTTTTTTATAGGATAAGTGTGATAAACGAGCACACAGTCCACCCGATGGTAAATGGTTGCTGCGGCCCATAGATATCTACATCTATCCTCAATTATGACTCAGAATGCGTTGTCACCCGGGAGAACTAAGATGAAATGCGTCGTGTCCAGTAAAAAGGGTCTCCGGTTTTCTACACTCACCAGAAACACAGCGGCGTTATGTTGCTATTCCACGTTGGTATTCTGTGAGAGCGCGGTCCTTACCCGGTCGAGCCGACCCATTCGTGCTACAACTATACTACTAATATAATGATAATATATTATAGGATAGATGTAACGAGATACTTGTAAATGTCTATGGGCCACAGCATCCACTTACCATCAGGTGGACTGTGTGTACTGTTTTGTTCAAATAATTCTTTACGAACAATAAATTACACATTTTCGATTCAAACTAAGCCTGTTCTGTTCTGTTCTGTTTTTATAACTATTGTTTTTACAGGTTAACATTTAAATCCATCTGTCTTATTTCAATCTGTATTAAAATGTTTAGGTTATTTATTAAATTATGGATTTGTTTTCATTTGTACTTGAGTTCGATGGTCCAATTGATTTTTTGTTGCGATGAAAATGAAATTTAGCACAAATAATTTACGTAGTGTTAACAGTCCATAGATTCAATTTTGTGATTAATGTCTATAGCTATTTTCATTGCTATAAAAATCGTTTTTATATACATACAAATTTGTATGTATATAAGGAGTAGAAAGATAATATCTATGAAGACTGATGTTCAATTGCGACGTAGTCATCTCTGAATCTGACTCCAATGCAAATTTTATGTTTAATTTCAAGTATGAAATAAATGGACTTATAATTAAATAATTTTCTTCCACTACTGTCCGCGATACGAACTGACATCGTTGATAATTGGAAATATATATATATATATATAATATACTAAGGAGACATCTAAACAATTTGAACTACTTAATTAAAATTTGAACAAATGTTTCGCACATTTGTTCAAATTTCAGTTAAGTAGTACATACATACAAATATTTATCTTTTGAATTACAAATAAAGGAATATCATTATATTAATTTGTACGTGAACGTGAAAAATAGGTTCGTACATTACAGTACAAAATAATAAAAGGCCCGAACTCAACAGCTATTATGAAAATTATTTTATTATTTTTAGTTCACATCAACTCTACAAGTCATCAACATCTAGAATGTTACCTAAATGGTTACATTAAAATCTTCATTTCGTATTTTTCTCTCTTAATGGTGGAGTTTTTCTGGAAAATTACGACTGGACTCTCTCTACTCGAGGGTATTGCGCAAAATCCATACGAAAACAAAATTTATAAAGGACAGCTAAATTGAATACTATCCCCGTTTTTTGAAGTCGAGTAATAAAGGAAATAAATACTCATTCCTGCTGAAAAGTTTTCCAAGTTAGGAGTATACCCTAGATAAATTGTACGTCCCTGTAAACACCGAGTAAGTTCATAATTAGCTTTGTAAAATAAATCCTTTTCGTTCCAACGTGAAATAACAACTTTTTAAAACGTTACTCTCACACTTACACGGGAATTTTTTACCGCATGGTGGCGACTTTTTATAAATAAAAACTGCACATAGACAAACATCCACATACAGAACAATTATTTGTTTGGCCATAGTACTATTATATACTTCGTAATTCAGCGCAAAATTCTAACGCACGACCCGCTTATAGTAATTACATACATACGCATGCATAGAGAGAACCTACAATTCTACATAAATTGAGTCAATATACTTGTCTCGCTTTTTCTAATTTAAAGTTCAAGTAAGGCAAAAATAGACAAATCTATTGTCTATTTTTGCCTTACTTGACTTAAGATGTTGCGTGGATATAGAAATGTCAAGTGGTCATCTTTGGTCCCTTTATGTTATGCCAAATATGAGAGTAAATACACTCGTACCTTCTGACTTATTAGATAAATGACATCACTATTGTAGTAGTATTTTATGTGACGTTAATTTACAAGTCATGACGTTTTTAATCTATAGTGATTTCATTCACAATGCTAGCAACAATCGACATCGATATACTCGTTTTTGTTTAG